GCATCTCACTCTATTAACAGGGAACTGGACCATTTATTCGAGACCTTCCCAAGCATACTAAAAGGATTCTCTTTTTTTTTTATCTCTCGATAAGAATTCATTGGCACTATTTTCAACTGCAGCTTTCTAGAATATTCCGGGGAAATTCTGGAAAAACGTGTTTTTGAAGGTTTCAAGGTACCTACAGTGGTGATACAGTACTGCCTTCACGGGTTAAAACCTGAGTATTTTCCAATTCATTCATCAGATTGCCGAAAATTAAAGATAATTTTGTAAAGAAATATTTTTGTAAACTGGTTTCCATCGATAATTTTTAACGTAAAATTCAATGCCCGAGGATGGACAAACCAGGAAGTTGTTCAATGTTTTAAAACTTACTTTCCTTGCAAAGCACAAATACGTTTTCTTAAATATGAAAATACCTGTTGGAAGCACAATGCTGAGCTCTCGTAATATATTCGAAGAGGGTTGTCTCGAACTTACCGTCCCTCCTGAATAGTGGCGTTAAGAGCATTCAACACGATTTTTATCGTGATATGTTCGAAAACAGAAAATAAAAGAAAGATCTGTAAATATTGAGCTTTTTGAGTATAGTTCGTGAAAAAAATTAATTTATTTATGGACTACTGGTTGCTATCCCATGGTTCCCATCGCGATGGGAAAATAATTTACAACATAGACAGCTCCAGAAGATGGCTCTTCACCCATTGAAAAAGTTTACAATTAAAAATATTTTAAACCATTAAACCTAATATTTGCTTCAAAACCAAATGTTATTTTTAAATTTACTTCGTTTTTTTAATAAGTCTTTTCATAAAACTATTTTGAAATTTATAAAGTTAAATTGCAAGGTATTTCAAGTAGAATTAAGTTATTCGATATTTGGAACATCATAAGATGTGATGAACAATATTCAGAACTTTCTCATATGACAACCCTGTTTCTGCCTCTTCTTCTGCTTCATCTGTTGTTTTTTCATCTTCTTTTTTTTTTTTTTTTT